TTATGAAATTGTTTCATATAATATTTAATGAAATTTTAATGAAACTGTTTCATGTATTTCTCTAAAATTAAAATAATGAAGATGATAATATACATGATTAACACACCCTCCACAATAAAAATGATTAATCAACCTTTCATAATTACAAAAAAAAATGAACAAATGAAAAATTATGATTGGTTGAATGAGGTTTGCACGGTTTGTAAAAATTGGGTGGTTTTTATTTGAACATTCATCTATATATATATTAAAGAAACAACCAATGATAAGACACTATGTGGTTTGAGAATTTCTCAAATATCGGATTGTGATTTAAGTTGGTTGTCCCATGTTAACACAGGACACAGGGGATGAGAAATGCGATACCCGTCCCCGTCCCCGTCCCCGTCCCTGGTTTTTGACAAACGGGAATCCCTATTCTTTAAACAAATTACAACTGATATTGTGATAGTTGCTTGTTATTGAAACCAAAACAGAACAATTCTTTTACCATCATCAATAATCCTCCATTTTTGTGATTATTGCTTCTTATTGAAACTACAACAGATCGTTTATCGTTTTTGGTGCGGATGGAATCAGCATATTGGACTCCATGCCCAATTTCTAGTGTTTCCCCGATGGAAAACTCAATTGCAATGATTGTTATGATAACATCTTGAATAAGTTGATCTCTGAATCTGCCTTTTTTTCATTTCTGAATTAACTTTACTACATTCTACTCATCTCCCCCAGTTTATCTTTGAATAAGAAGTGTGATTGTTTATGGGATGCATGGAAGGTGTTTGATGAAATGGGTGAAAGACTACTAAAGACAGGTATGCTTCTAAATCTTCTGCTAAATCAAGTTACCATGTGCTCTGATTACTGTGGGTCTCAAATTTTCTGCCATATATATTTGATAATTGATATTTGCAAGAAAAATTAAACAGGATGATCATTGTATTGGTGTCAGATTCTGCCACAAGAACTTGCATTTAGAAAACATTAGTTTTGACTTTGAAGTTGAACTATCATTAATCACATGAAAATCTTTACAAATGAACATAACCATGACCAATTACAAGCAAAGACACATCTAATGACCCATAAACCTAAATCTATCATCTGTTCGAATCAAATTCACAAATCCATATGTACCGAAAAAGAATTTAATGTGGTTCAAGAAATCTTGATTTACATTGCCTATACCTTCAAAGCCTGACCTTTACAAAGAGGGCAAACATTCTTACGAAGCAACCACTCGTTGATGCATTTGGGATGAAATCGATGTCTGCATTGAAGCACTCCTACTCTCTCATTGTTTTCAAATTCAACTTGGCATACCACACAGACCTCACTTTCTTCTTCTCCTTCTTCACGATATTTGGTCACTCTTAGATTCTTGGAGATCAGTTCCTTGGTCAATCCACTGCATTCCTTTGCCACCAACTCAGATGCTTGTTCAAAACTGTCGTTGATTTGATTCATGTTAAGGTCTTGTAGTAGAGCAACTTCATCTATAGTCTCTGAATACTGGTAGTGATCTATGGCTTCTTGTGGTTGGTAGTATGTAGTGGTGGAGTAAGATGGTGATTGGTGGTGAGTTTGTTCGTAGGCTTGTAGGTCAATAATGTTGACAATAGCTGCTTGTTCTCCGTAGACATACCATGTATAAGGGTAGGGAAGGGGACGATAAAATCGCAGTGATTGGGCTAATACATCAGGATGGAAGTCGCCGGAAACAATGGATGAAACGGAATAGACACGTATTCTTCTGCCACAAAGCCAGAGGCAGAAGGAGACCGGAGTTGATATATCATGTGGGTATTGATTCATATCCATGCTGAAACAAATTAAAGGAGGAGGAGGAGGAGGAGATGGTGGTGGTAGTCGATGGTAGAGTTGCAGAAAAATGGTGGTGATCTGATGGATGAACAAATACCAAGGAGTTTAAATAGATTTTGGATTTGGAAACGTTTGTGAGGCTAATTAACCTCCGTGGATTACAATGGGATTTGGTAATGAAAAAAGATCGGAAGAAAGAAACGACCGTTTGGGGAAAATCAATTCTTGATCTCGAATTCAATCCAAATCTTCCAATAAATACGACATATTTATGTCATCTTTCTTCCTAGAAATCATCATTTCAATTTACTTCTTAATTAATAAAAAAACAATTAATTATTTATTAATGTTCCATAATAAGCAACGATAACCACAAAGGTGGTGCCTGATTGGTTTGAGTTTTGCTCCAAAGGTCAAAAATATCAGGAGGTTTCAAATTCAAATTCAAGAAGGAATAAAAATTCTCTTATGGCCACGGAAGTTCAAATGCGGTGACTCCGGACTATCTGCAAAGCAGGTGCTTGCCTTGGGATTAGTCGGCTCACATAGCGGGTTGGATATCCAGGTTAATAAAAAAAAAAGCAACGATACTTATATTATTATTATTATTATTATTATTATTATTATTATTATTATAAAAAGTTAATAATAATAATACAAAATGGCTAAGTTAAAATTTTAGATCGATTACAGTGGAATACTTAAATTAATACAAATGTAACTTAATTGTTAAATCGTCATATATCATGTTATGTTACAACTTATTTAATTTAACATAAATGTCTAATCATAAATATTGTCCTTAAATAAGTAGGCAAGTCTCTAAATGTGCGCCTTGACCCTGTCCAACATCGAACTTCCTTGCAGTGAGATGCATACTATACAAGTCACTTTTGAATCTAAAAACCCATTTTTATATGATACTTTATTTTAAAAAAACCTTGTTCAAATATTCAAAAACCTTCTATATACGTATTGTGACACTTTTAGATACGACGTTTTATAGTTGTTCCTACAAAACTTAAAATCTTATTATATATTTTATTAGGACGCTTAAAGTGTGTGAAAAAAATAAGGTTTGTCGTAAAGAAAGATTTTAATGTTATATAAAAATAAGGGAAAAGTACAATAAAAACCAATGAACTTTTTTGTTTGGAATGATTAAGTCCTTGAACTTTTTTTTGGAACAAATAAGTCATTGAACTTTCCAAAACATGTTAAATAAGTCCTTGGACAATTTTTTGGCACAAATAAATCCTTGGACATTCCAAAATATATTAAATAAGTCCTTAAACATTCCAAAAAATGTTAAATAAGTCCTTGGACTATTTTTGGAACAAATAAGTCCTTGAACAATCCAAAACATGTTAAATAACTTCTTGAACTTTTATAAAACATGTT